GGTTCTGCTTTTAATTTTTTTGAGGAATTTTCATACTGTTTTCCATAGTATCTACACCAGTTTGCATTCCCACCAGTGGTGCACAAGGGTTTCCTTTTCTCCACATCCTCACCAACATTCGTTATCTCTTATCTTTTGGAGAATAGCCATTGTAACAGATGTGAGATATCTCACTGTAGTTTTGACTTGCATTTCCCTGATGATTCGTGATGTTGAGCATCTTTTCATGTACCCGTTGACCATCTGTATGTCTTCTTTGGGAAAAGGTCTATTCAGATCTTCTGCCCATTTTTTTAATCAGGTTGTTTGCTGTTGAGTTGTATGAGTTCTTTATATATGTTGGGTATTAACCCCTTACCAGGTAAATGATTTGCAAGTTTTTTTCCCATCTGGTAGATTGCTTTTTCATTTCATTGATGATTGGAAAAGATGAGAAGTTGTGTACACAGTTGATGAGAGTAACTCAGAGCGTAATCCGGCAGTAATTGGTGAAGGTGGTAAGGTGTTGTCTGTAAAGCCCAGCACATCCACCTTGAGATACATGCTCTGAATGCTTTAGTGTTTAGAGCAGTGTGTATTCTCCTCAGTGTGTGATCTGCATGTTGTAAAGGTTTGTCAGTCATTTGTTTCCAGTCCACAGGGAGATACAGGTACAAAAAGTGAGAATAAGCATTTAGAAGCTTTTATAGCAATTTGATACTTCCACTGTATCTAAGAGTGTCACTTTGTATTTTATAAAAGTTTTGATCTGAAACAGAGTGAGAATAAGAAAAACGGGTCCTTGACTCCCTGACCACAGGTAGTTTAGGAAACCCTGCCCTAGAGGAATTCTCACAAATAGAGACCTGTCAGGACTGCTTCAGATAAGTGTATGTGTGTGTGTGTGTGTGTGTGTGTGTGTGTATAACAACCTAAATATCCATCCTTAGGAAAATGTGTTACAAACACCATGATATAGCCTATGAAAGAATATCATTCAATAATTAACATGAATGAACTAGGTCTACATGACTGAACATGGATAAATTTCAGATAATTTTGAATTAATGAGCACATTGCAAAATGATACCTATATTATGATATTCATATAAAATTTTAAAAATACAAAATAATACTATATTTCCATACACAGTAAATGGCTAACAACATGGATAGGAAAGATGCACACCAACTTCAGAAGAGAATTTAACTCTGGGAAGGGAAAATGGTGGATAGAATTGTGAATGGGTGCAGACCTGTACCCCTGAGGCTAATAATACAATATATGTTATTATATATGTGTTATAATAAAGAAAGAAAGAAAGAAGGAAATAAAGAACTGTGAATGGGTAAAAAAATTTAAAACTTCAATAATCTTTCATTTATCTTTTTTAAAAAGTTGAAGCAAATATGCCCCCCCAAAAGTTGACATTTATGCCATCTAGGTTGGTGGGTACCTGGTTGTTACATTTTTTTCTCTATTTTTCTCCATCCAAGTATCTCCCCGTAAAACCAGCCTCAGAATATGATTTTTTTTTTTTTCTGATCCAGAAAGCAAGTTGAACATACTGGAACATCTGGGGAGCTTGATTACCTACAAGCCCTGGGACACATTTGTCCTCCCAAGTGACTTAAAACCAGATATTAGCTATTTGTGCAGCTTCTGTGCCTCAGGGTCGTAGAGGAAACATTTGTTCAGAGCCCTGGGGCAGCTGTACAGATGCCTAGATTCTGCTCCTAGCTTTGTGACTAACTCACTGATAATAGTGAATTTCTCATATTTAAATCTTCATTGCCTTGTGGTAAAATCAGACTGAGACTGTGTTCAGCATTGCAATTTTGTAACTTACACAAATTATATATAAATGTATATTTGAAATGTTAAATACACTAGCAGTTTGAGGTTCCTTTTACAATAATCATAGAAGCTAAAGCAATACATAGAATAAATGCAGATGTAGGAATAAGATTAATATATGTGCCATGGATGGGGCACCTGGGTGGCTCAGTCAGTTAAGCATCTGCCTTCAGTTCAGGTAGTGATCTCAGGGTCCTGGGATCGAGCCCCATGTCAGGCTCCATGCTCACCAGGGAGTCTGATTCTCCCTCTCCCTCTGTCCCTTTCCCTAGCTTGTGTTCTCTCTCTCTCTCTGCTTGCTTTCTCCCAAATAAAATCTTTAAATAAATAGTTGTGTGTGTGTATATATGTACACACACACACACACACACACACATATACGCACAGTAGAGTGAGATCTGGTTTTAAGTCTTGCTTCTCTGCCGTTCACCAACTATGAGCCTTGGTTTCCTGAAACACTAATCTTCTATTTCCTATGACAAGTATCATAATAAATAGCAACTACATCAGCTTGGAAAACTTTGATAGCAGTCTTATTGTTGCAGTTGTTACAAATCAGTCACTTAACTTTTATGCCTGAAAGGTACTAGAATAAAACCTCAAACAGCCAATTGCAGTCATCTTCCAAAGATGGGATGAGCATAGCATGCCAATTATTCTTTAAAGCAGCAATAAAGTACAAATTTTCTAAACTAAATGGTGCCACATTCTTTAAAAACATGCATCCAAAGTAATTTAGTAAATTTCTCAGCTCAAGAAAAAAAGATTTAACTATATGAGTTGATAAACTTACTGCGGTGATCATTTCACGATGTATCAAATATCAAATCATTATGTTGTACACCTTGAACTAATACAGTGTTATATGTCAATTATATCAAAACCAGAAAATAGAAACAGAAAGAGACAAACAAAAAACACCAAAGTGATTTAAAAACAGTCCTGTCTCCATTTGGGACCCTAATTAGACGAATTATGGATTGCTTCCAACACCTGAATTCTCTTTTATGTGGGCTGCGATTAAATGGTTGATTTGATTCCAACAAATCTGATTCCAGTAGATGAACTTTAAACATGCTTGATTTTTCATTTGTACTTTGTGGTGTGTACTCTTGCCATTCATTTATACAGAATGACCCAAAGCAGAACCACATGACCACAAGGAAGGACAGTCAGTCAAGACTCACATTTGTGAATCTCAAAGTTAGGCTATGCTTGTGATGGAACAGAGAATTTGGACAGTCACCTGCCCTGCCTAGAACCAGGCACAGTTAATACCCTTGGACCTCTAGTTCTGCTGACACAGTACATGGCTGATTACATTTTGAAGGCTCGGTTTTACAGAGCCATGTGGTATCCCAGGGGTCTGGTGAATGAAAAGCTTCTGCAGCTTATCAGCAGAAAGATAAAAGAAAGGCCCTGGTTCCACTGCCAGTGCAGGGAGATGCTGATCACCCGGGCTTCTGAGAACAGGAGTCTGACCCACACTGAACACTTCAGCAATAATGTCAACATACCCAGGACCACAGCCAGCAAGGAATTCCCTGAGATAAGATTACAGTGTTGTCCTTAAAGGGGCGCCAACCAAGTCAGTGGATCTCCAAATATTCCCTGAGTAGAACAGCCCTGTAAATTGTCCTTTATACCAGGGGACTTGAGGACCTCAGTGTTGGGGCTTCTAGATGCAGACATTGAGGTATTGTTTTCCAAAGTACACATAAAACTCTAGCAACGTCAAGGTCAGTCCCCACAAGGTCAAGAGCCTAAGCTTGGGGCCCTCAAGATCCACCACTTACAAAAGCTGGAGACAGCTCTTTGTTGGCAAAAGTATTTATCCACCTTCCTTGGGGATTTTGTTTCTTCTCTACTGGCTGTGTCTGGGCCAGAGGGCCTCTAAAGCCAGCTTTGTCCTCCAGGCCAGGTCTAGGATGAAGTCATTATAGGAAAAGGTGATTCAGTCTTTGAGAGGAATAGGTATGAAAAACCACTGCAATAATTGATTTCAATACCTAGTCATATGTTTGGTTTAAATATCAGTGTTCAAACCAGTGCTGGGACAGCGGGCCCATGAGGGGTCAAGGCAGAGCTGGTCAGGGATTCTTCTAAGACCACTTTGGTAATGAGAAACAGCAGACACAGAGAAGTAACTCACCTTCAGTTTGTCATCCAGACCCTTTGTGCTTTGGAATGCCTCACATTCATTCCTCTGTACCCCTGTGTGCTGCCCTAGTGTGGCCTTCTGGTTCTGACCCCACCTTCCCAGAGCTATGCTGTATATAGTGACCAGATTAATTAACAACAACAACAACAAAAAAAAAAAAAAAAACCATCTTTTTATTGTGTCATTTCCCAGAATAGTCTCACAATAAAAGTCAGACACTTCTAGTTTATTATTAAATGTCTTCACCCATCTTTCTATCCAGTTTCTCTTTCTCCATCAAACCTTTGTTTCATGCAGAGGATCTCCTTATGGGCTGGTGTTAACTTATTTTTCAATATTCATGCTTTGGTTCCTGCTGTCTCTCCCTTTTGGAATTCCTTCTCCCCTTCTCTTCTACTCAGACACATCTCTTCCATTAAACCCTTTCAGACCAGTTCCTGCCTACACTGATCTGACCTCCCTCTGAACTCTGCTAGCTTATCACCTAGAGTTCACACCAGCCTTATGGCAATTAATCACATTCTACTATGTGAATTTGGCTTTGTTTTGCATGCTCTGTCTTGCTCTTTTGCTCTTTTCTCTTTTTCTTTGAGTGTGTGTGTTTGTGTTTTGTCTGTAGATAGATAAGAGGTGTTTGAAAATAAAACCTAGGTCTTAAATGTCTTTAAAATATACTACCTAATAGATGGTCCATAACATGGTTATTGGTTGGTAATTCTTGCTTAGGATCTTGATTTTTTTTTCTCATGAGGGTAGGAGTCCTTATCTTCTGTTCACTCCAATATCCACAGCTCCCAGAGCAGTGCCTTGCACATTAAATATTCAGTGAGGGTCAGCTGTTAACCTCTAGAGAGGGCTGCCCTGACCACGGTCTGCAGCGGGCCTTGACATTCTGCCTTGTGTCCCAGCTTTCTGAGTGATGGACCTGTCTTACTCCCAGCCGCAAACCCCGTCCCCCAACTGCTTCTGACATGGCTGTGTCTGTCTGTTCTTTCTCCTCAGATGCATACTCTCATTCCTCAAGTGAAAATGGAGGCAAGTCTGAGTCAGTGGCCAACCTCCAGTCTCAGCCCTCCCTGAACTCCATCCACAGCTCCCCCGGGCCCAAGCGTTCCACCAACACCCTTAAGAAGTGGCTGACCAGTCCCGTGCGCCGGCTCAACAGCGGGAAAGCAGATGGAAATATCAAGAAGCAGAAAAAAGTACGAGATGGCCGGAAGAGCTTCGACCTGGGCTCTCCCAAGCCTGGGGATGAGACAACACCTCAGGGAGACAGTGCCGATGAGGTACGTACATGTGGCCCTGGAGCCTCCATCAGAGGGACCTCCTTCCCCAGGTTCTGTAAACCTCCCAGTCTCTAGACCCCAGTAGATTGTTTTCTTGAGCCCAAGGAATCTGAGTTTTTGTACCAACAAGATCTTACCAGGCCAACACGTGACCATTTCGGAGACTGACTAGCACCTAGAATTCCAGCAGATAGACAACACTTTGCCAGATTTGGAGATAGGGGCCTGGGCCCGAGGGGAGCCATTTGGTCACCTATTCTGCTGCTTCTACTAAAGACTACATCAAAACCTGCTAGTTGAGAATAAGAATGAAAGAAGGTCCACCATTTCCCTTGGAAGGAGAAGGCCATGCTAGGAGAGTATAACTGTTTTCAGTTGTCTAGAGCAGTGCCACATGTAAAAGGGAATAGACAACTCCAGATGCTCCAGAGGGGAGAATTATGACTAACAGGCAGAGGTTTGCAGAAGGCTAGGTTGCAGCCCAAAGAGGGACTTGAATGGAAGTCAACCAGTGATGAGCAAGCAGTCATGAAAGCGAACAGACACCAGGGCTAGAAGGGGCAGGGATGACGTATGACCTCACATAGCAGTGGGAGAGGTCCCTGTATTAGCCAAGAGGTCAGACTGGGTGACCTCCGAAGTCTCTTTCAAAGCCAAGATTCTATAATCAAGATACAGTGGGTGGGGGCACCTGGGTGGCTCAGTGGGTTAAGCCTATGCCTTTGGCTCAGGTAATGATCTCAGGGTCCTGGGATCGAGCCCCGCATTGGGATCTCTGCTCAGCAGGGAGACTGTTTCCCTCTCTCTCTGCCTGCTTGTGACCTGTCAAATAAATAAAATCTTAAAAAAATAAAATAAAATAAAATACAGTGGGTGTGTTCTAGTTGGGGGAATGAGAGCGGTTTTTTTTTCTGGCCAACTAACCTGCTCTAATCGCTGATGAGGCTAAGCAATTCTTCCTGCTGTGTAACCAGACTCTGTTTGTAATTTTAGGCTATTTGCCATTTCTCCCTCTGAGGATGACAGGGGAGCCTGGTGATACTCAGATTGTGGCTTAATAGTCCTTCAAAGGCTTAAAAAGTTAGGCTCCCTCTGACCACTCTCAGCTTTTTCTTTTTCCTGATTAACAAGGTCAATGTTTGTCGTGTGTGTGTGTGTGTGTGTGTGTGTGTGTGTGTATTCCCCCATTTTAACCTCACTGTCCTTTGAGATGAAGGTGCATCCATTCCACAGAAGAGGACAGTGAGGCTAAAAATATAAGGATGTGTTGAGGAAGGAGGTTATCTTATATGTTGCTTTTTAAAAAAAAACTCTAAGTCCTAAACCACTGGTATCTTTAACTATATGAAACAGAGGACTGTATGATTAATGCTGCTCTTTTGTTCTAGAAGAACAAGAAAGGTTGGGGCGAAGATGAGCCAGACGAAGAGTCACACACCCCTCTCCCGCCTCCTATGAAGATCTTTGACAATGACCCTACGCAGGACGAGATGGTAGGACTCCTTTACTTTCTCCCTTGAAAGAACAACGTGTAATACATGTGATTTTGTCTTGTGTGTATGGTGGGGGTAGTAATACTCTCTCTCCCTTGTTCTCGCTCTGAATCTATAATAATGGAGATTTGTCTGTATTCGGTAGGTTACCCTCCCCCTGCCCTGAAGCTCTGACTCCATTCTGGGTGGCGGAGGGGTGCGTGCAGCAATCCCAGAGTGGGACTGGTGTCTCGTCCTGTTGATGGAGGATAATGGCTGTGTCTTCGGACACTGCAGATCCTAAAAGGAACTGTTTGTCTCACAAGGAGTCTGAGGGCGGTTCCAGGCCGAAATCCCTTTGTTGTACCTGACGTCTGAACTGTGTTTTCGCTGATCGTTTTCCCTATACTCAACTCTAAAATCCAAATAGCAGTAGCTTCTGGTCAAGCCCAAATTCTGCAAGAATGGGAGGGAAGGAGATGCTGCTAAGGGGGGAGGGGAGGTTGCTGACAAAGGTGGGAAACCTAAATAAATGCAGGCTGTCGCGTGCTTGGTCTTGTAAAATCTCTGGCTCCTGAGCACGCGGAGGCTCCCGGGTGCCTGGAGCGTGGATGTCTGTGTGGCCTCGAAGCCCCGAGCGATCACCCTGATTGCTCTAGAGGCTCAGCTTGGACGTGCTGCCCAGTACCAGCTGAGGCTCGGGGCTGCTTTAACTGCACACTCCGTCACTCATTTTCCTAGCAAACCCTGCTTTCACCTCAGTGTGTTTTTCCTGCCTTCTCTTTGTCACTGTCCCCTTGGATTCTGTGGGTTTTAACTGTCCTTTACAGTTTCTTTTCAGAGTGGCTTGTGGTGGTGGTGGTGGCTCAGCTGTCCCTCTGAAGACAGCCCTGTGTTCCCTGCTGCACCGCCTTGCAGTGGCACGGCTTCCTGTGGGGCAGGGGGCCAGCAGGGACGGGGAACAGATCTTTCCACCAGCACCTGGGATGCAGTTCAAAAAGTCCGGCTTGCCCATGCTTCAGCGTGTCCAGTTATAGCCCCTTCCTGGAGCTCATTCCCTCCACTTTGTATTGGGTCACGAACCCAAAGACATTAGTTGGGGTCTCCCAGGATGCCACCCAAGAGGGAGAGACTCTAGGGACAGGACGATGACAGTTGCCCTGCTCTGGGATTCCGCCATGAGCCAGGCACAGCGCTGGCCCCTCCTACGGTGACACTGGTGGCCCCTGTTGGAAGGACAAGTAGCGGGAAGTGTGGCACGAGGCCCATCCTGGGTTCCCAGGAGCAGAAGCGCCCACACTCCACACTGAGGTCCGCACGGGAGCCAACCTGCTGTGTTCCCAGAGGCCTTCCCTTGTAAAATGTTCCACAAACAGTGATCGCGTGTGTGGGGCGAAGGACGCTCCTGTCACAGCATTAGCTGTCCCACACGGCCTTTGGCAAGGAGGTGCCAGCTGGCCTATGATAAGTAAAGGTCATGGACCCACCCCCTCAAATTCCCTCAGACACAGCTTGTTTGGGGGAAGAGGATGTTATGTTGTTTCTGGATAATCTTTAACTGAAAAGGCGGACTTACCCCAGACATTTGTGTGGCCTTTTTGTTAGCCAGAAAGAGGACAGATGGCAATGGTCCCTTTTTAGACATATTCATCCTCCTCAGCCCCGCCGGTTTGATTTCTGTGCGTTTATTTTTCTGAAACATTTGGGGAGCCTCAAAACTTCTAGCAATTAGAGTCAAACTTATTAAAATAAGTTTTTACAACAGTCTGTAAGGAAGTTTTTAGTCAACCTATTTAATGTTATACAATCACCTGGATTCTCCATGTTCCCCTCTAATATTTGTTCAGATGTATGTATGTTTTATTTTTATAGTTTTAATACATACTTGATATGTTGAACGTTTTATTTAATATTTTTTAAAATCTTACTAATTTTATCTTCGTAACTACAATTTTAATAGCTGAGGAGTATTTCCCTTATTCGATGTAGCATAATTTGCTTGGCCAGTCTGTTTTGGGATATCCTGGGTTGTTTCCAGTTTTTGCTACCCTAGATAACACTGCTACAGATCACTTTGTACATACAGCATTTGTTCTTTTGACTTCTGTCCTTGGGATAAGTTCCCAGGGGTAGGATTACTAAATCAAAAAGCTGATAGCTTGGATTTCCAAACAGGCTTAAGCTCCTTTCCTGCATTCCCCAGAAGAGGAGAAAGAGTGTTGTTCTCTTTCTCTTAATTATTATTTGACTTTGTTTTACCCCATCTCAGAAGCAAAGACCTAGAGTAACTCTTAAACTAGACAAAAAGTAGCTTCTTTTTGAAACTTTTCCCCCTAATGTAAGGGACAAACTTGGTGCCAAAGTATGGCCAGGACTTTCAGCTTTTTATCTCTGCAGTGATCAGTGTCAAAGACTGAAGGAACATGTGTTTGGGGCCTGGGGAGCACAGTTGCCCTCTGCTTGGCTGTGCCAGGGAGAAAAGTTCATACATGCATGCAGGGTGAACCATTTCTCCCCCAGTTTCTTCTCAGGTAGGAGAAGGAAGATAAAAACCACTGCCCCTCCATGAGCAGGATTCCCCACACCATTGGCCATCCAGCCACATGCACCAGTCAGTGCTTCTTGCTGGTACAAAGGGAAGGTGGGCAGGCCCTTGGCTTGAGCCTCCTTTTACTGTGAATAGAACAGTCCCTAGTGACTCTAGCGTGAGACACTCAACTCCTTGCTAGAATCATGCATTATATCCACATGTTTCAATTTGGGAGCAACACAAACAGCTATGTTTGTGGAGGGGTGTGTGTGTGTGTGCATGTGAGTGGGCAGGGGGTTTCTAGCTTCCTGGTCTTTAAGTACCCTGCCCTAAAATTTTTGCTTGATACACACTGAAGATCTATGTTTAAAATCTGTATTTAAGTAAAGCAAAGACAGTTTCTCTCCTTTGGACACATTTGAGGCCAGGTTTATGGACCCCTTTCATACCTGGAACAGCAATGGGCAGCCCTGTTGTGGCCAAAGTTCTATCTGTCCCTCTCCCCCTGTTGCTGACAGTGGGTGCAGGCCTTACCTTGTTGGCCTCCCGGGAACTCAGCAAACCCTACCCTCAGTTCCTCCAGAGCCCTGCCTAAGGAGAGCCTAGTCTCATCCCTGCTTTTCTGCTGGCCAGAACTCCTGACACGGAGTCAGGCAGGACTGTCTGACACCCACACCACTTCCTACCTTGCTCTGTGATTTCTTGCCTCTAAACATAAAGCTTTGCTTCCCTTGCCTGCCTTGAGCTGTGGACTTGCTGTTTTGCTTCCTAATTACTATTCCTCATTCCTTGCTAATCTGCTTTTCCTTTGCTGCTCAATGTCTTGCAGTCCTCCTCTTTGCTAGCAGCCCGGCAGGCTTCCACTGAAGTACCTTCTGCTGCAGACCTTGTCAGTGCAATAGAACAATTGGTCAAAAGCAAGCTGGTAAGTGGGGGTCCTGGAGGCAGTTTTGTGTGTGTCTTACCTCCATGTGGCTCCCAGGGTCTGGCATCTGTCTGCCATGGCCTCCTTTGCACCTGTCCTCATTCCTCCTGTGGGATTATTTCTAGCTAAGGATGGTTTCCCAAAAAACCTGTGCTCCACAGTCTTTTTAGCTCCTTTTTTTTTTTTTTTTTTTTTGAATGGGCATGGGCAATTAATGGCCCTTTGGGATTGTGTCACTAATGAAAGGAAAAAAGTATCCAACACAAAACAGCATCTCTCTGAGCCCGGTCCACTGACCCATAGGGATGCAGCATTTGGACAGTGACTGGTGTGTGTCTGGTTAGCCCTGAAGCTAATTCAGCTACTGAGACACAGAACATGATTTGGGTCTTTGAAAGTACCGGGTAATTTTATTTGTGGACCCCAGGCAAGTTTCTAGCCTCAGAGTCTGGCAAAAGTAGATATTATATAGATAGTATATATGGTATATAGTATGTATAGTGTGTGTATATATACATGTATTATATATATATAATATCCACTATCTATAAATACAGATATATCTACATCTATAAATGTAGATAGTGGATATTATATATATCTATATACATATAGATAGTAGATATTATAAAGGGGCATGGGCCAAAATGTGTAGCTCTCTCACCACAGGAGATGAGGGAAGCTGGTGTGTACCCCCATCATGGGGGACAGTCGAGCTGACGGCCACTGAAAACTGGCCTAGCTTGTGACTGTCTCAGGGGCCAAGCAGATGACCGCAGAGAAGGATTATGGGTCTGGCTGCTTTAGGGTTTGGGCTCCATGCTGGTGAAAGAGCTTGTTTTTGGATAATGTTATTCCTCTACACCATGTTTTTACACTGACGTGTATTCCTACAGGATGACAATTTAAAGCATTCTCCTTGCCCTTCACCCTCATCTGTGTCACTCATTTGGTTTTTCTCAGAACTCTCATTAGGATAAATGTCTGTGCTTCTGCCAGACTTCTCTTGGACAGTTCTGCTAATCAGCACCATATAAACCCTTCTCCCCTTGGCCCAGGAAAATGCTGGATGCCGTGCAGGGAACGCTGCCCAATCATAATTCTGATTACAGTAACTCCGTCTTCAAATCTCCCAGCTTAGAGAATACTGATGAAATTTAACACGTGATTTTCTTCTCCTTCTAAGTTTTCCATCCTCAGTAAGAAAGACTTTTGCAGCTGATGTTTTCAATAACTGTATCTAACTGTTCTTGAGGGCTGTCAGGTCTCTGGTCACCCTCCCTGTCTCACTGGTAGGAGTCGAGTGCTCGTGTGGGCACTCCATTGGCTTTTCAAAGCTTGCCTCTCCGACCTCCCCCCACTTGCTCTCCTTTCTTCTTCACACTAACCCATACACCCTTTTCATGATCCAAATACTGTCTAACAATGTTTTTCCTTAAAGATCATCCTTTGTTTTTTTTCTTTACATTGTCCCCTTCACCACCAGTGCCTAAGCCCTGACCTCATGCCTGGACTATTGAAGTAGTCTCCTGCCCCACTCTGCCTCCCTCTCAGGCCTCCATCCCCTGGCAGGTCTTCCGCATGCACTGCCATTGCCTTCCTCCTCAGTGAAGGGTCACTGTCTCCCTCTTGCCTCCACAGTTGTCTGCAGGGTGGGGAGCCTTCAGGTACACAAGACTCTTCACTGAGGTGCAGGAAGACAATTTTAGAATCTCTTCATCATTTAAAAAATGATTTGGGGTACATTTTGCTATGTACATAATGATAACACAGTAGCACAGAAATACAAGTTATAAATAAGTTAAATGTTTGGGCAATGTATGGCCAAAATTAGGTTTCCTGATAGAGGTATATGATCAAGGTTTGGAACTCACTGGATAAAATATTCCATGGATAAAATTCACACTTACCCAGTATTCCTATGCTTTGTAGGCAGCCTACCACCACTTATTTATTCTGGTTGATGAACTCTGCTCCAACCAAATTGTTTTTCCTCATGCATTTGGCTCTCCTCCCCCCAAGTTTCTATTCATACCACCCTACTTCTCTGGAACATTCCCTCTCTTATTTTTGCTTATCTAAAGCACAATAGTCCTTCGGGGCCCCACTGGAATCTCATCTGCCCAGAAGGGCTTCCCTGACCAGCCCAGGCCAGATTTCCTCTGCAGTCCCATGCCAATTACTGTGTAAGCCACATACTGCTGGGGCCAGCTCTTAGATAGTTCTGTTGCGTTATTTGTTAAAGTATCTTAATCTTTTCATTATCTTTGTCTGTGTAGCTTCCCTACCCAGCAAGATTAGGACATGATTTTCCCCTCCTCCATTAGTACACAAGAGGCTTTTACACTCATACATCAGTAGACACTTCTCTCCAAAATGCTATATTTTTGTATATTTTCCAATTACCTTTTATCCTGATATTACTGCCCACCTGAGCGCTCTGGGAGTCCCCCCATGGCCCTTCTAGTTGTGTGATCGGTGTGTCTGGTATTAAACAGGTAAGGGCAGATATTGAGAAGTTGGGGTGCCTGGGTGACTCAGGTGGTTAAGTGTCTGCCTTCAGCTCAGGTCATGATCTCCAGATTCTGGGATCGAGTCCCACATCTGGCTCCCAGTTCAGCAGGGAGTCTGCTTCTCCCTCTCCCTCTCCCTCCCCTCTGCCTCTCCCCCTGCTTGTTCTCTTTCTGTCTCTCTCTTTTTGACATAAATAAATAAATCTTTAAAAAAAAAAAAAGTCAATGAGAGTAAGTTTCCCAGAAGAGAGGAAGTGGAGGGTGTTACTGGAGCAGATCAGCCCTGTAACAGGCCCTCAACAAACCTCTATCAGGTGAGTGGTTGCTCTGTGGTACGTTTCCACAATAAGAACTTTAACTTGTCCCTCCACCAATAAGTACTCCTTGAGGACCTGCAGTGAACCCAGAATTACAGAGATTTCTTTGGCCAAACAAGTAACACCAACCCCATATCATGGAGAGGAATAAGGGAGCAGCAGCTTGGTTTCTCAGAATCTTCTCCTCAAAATTTGATCCTTTGTCATTCCTCTGCTTTCTCCACCCTCCCATCCCAGTATGTACCCACTGTAGGAGAGCAATGAAGCAGCAGCGTGTGGTGGTTTCCCTAGGCATGTTGGAGAATCCCGAGTTGCATTTTTACCTCTGAGACTTGTATTCCTATTCCTCATTAGCTCTTTAGCTGAGACGAGGGTAAGACCTAGAACCTATGAAAGTTCCAGAGTTTTTATTTGACTGTGAGTACAACAGTGTGACAGCTGCCAAGATAGGCAGTGTGTTCATAGGCTAGGTTAGTGAAAGTACAATGTACAGTCAAGGAGAGTAACTACCCCATTGTCCTCCAAGTTCTTCAGTCCACACCTGCCTTGAATACATGTGAGTCGTGTATCAGGTTCTGAACGCAGCATTCTGAAGTGTTCTTGAACTCAGTGGAAGGGCCCCAGAGGACGTGAACGGTACCATGTGGTGTCCACATCATTTGAAGGGAAGTTGAAGGTACTGGGTTAAATGAGGGGAGAAGTTAGGAAAGAGAAGGCTAGTGAGAGCTGTCTTGAATTCATTGAGGACTGCTGTGGAAAAGAAGGGTTGGTCTCCCTCTTTGTTGCTCCAGAGGGTGGAACATAGACCTGTGGGTGGAAGTTATCTTAGTTCAGTATGAGATGAGGTAATAAGTTCCTTTCCAACCAACAGAGTCTGGAAATTTTACAGGAGTGTCTAGCATACTTGGACTTTTATATCTAGGGCTTAGATTCTTTCTACTTTCTGTTTTGGGAAATAGTAGGAAGAGATAGCACCAAATTCTGCTCTACCCAAAAGCCTAGAGATCCCTTGTGTCTTGGAGCCCCAGAGCTGCCCTTGGTATGTTTTGGTCACATGTTCATGATGGCACCAAGGCTTCTGCCTTAGAGTTGCTAGTAGGAAACAAGGGTGGGTGTTCACCAGCTCACCTATGATACAGACAAAAACCCTTGAAGCTTCCCCTGGAACTCCTTTGACAAGTTCCTCTGGACATCAGTGGACACTTCTGAGTTCTCATCTGCCAGCCTCAGTCTTGAATCACTGCTTTTATTTACTAAGAGAAGATGCCCACCCACCTCCCCCCAAACAGATCTCACACATTTTTTTCCACATTTTGTATTAAGATGTTCTCTCTAACTCCAAGCCGGGTGTAAGGACTCTCCCTACTTTCCCTGTGTGATTTTTCTTTTTTTTTTTAAAGTAAACTCTATCCCAAAGTGGGGCTCTAACTGACAACCCTGAGATCGAGAGTCACTTGTTCTACCAACTGAGCCAGCCAGGTGCCCCTCCCTATGTGATTTTTTTTTTTTTAAGATGTTTTATTTATTTATTTATTTATTTATTTATTTATTTATTTGACAGAGAGAGAGAGACCCAGTGGGAGAGGGAACACAAGCAGGGGGAGTGGGAGAGGGAGAAGCAGGCTTCCTACTGAACAGGGAGCCCGATGCGTTGCTAGAATCCAGAACCCTGGGATCATGACCTGAGCCAAAGGCAGATGCTTAATAACTGAGCCACCCAGGCGCCTCTCCCTGCGAGATTTTTAATAAAACTTTTCCTAGATGTGAGGACGGGTGGTGATGGTGGTGGGTGTGCAGGGAATCAGAGACCTGGGTTGTAGTCCCGCCTTGGCTGTTTATTGTGTAGCTGTGGGCAGTTACTTAGTCTACTTGGGCCTCTCTTTTATCTCCTTTATCAGCAGGGATGGTTCTGTCCAGCTGAATCTTATCTCAAAAGAGATACCATGATGATTGAGTAGGTGTGAGTGTGCTTTGTAAAATGATAAGCAAGCATGCTACAAATGTTAGCTCTTAGCCACCTCACCCGGGATCTGTGTTAATGTTGGGGGAAGGCAACAGAGCCAGCCCTTTCATAGCCCCATCCTGGGCCATGAGGACACAGTGTGTGTCAGCCAGTAGATGAGCGGTTGGGTGAACAGGGCAGGGTTATATCTTAACCATCTATATGATC